AGTACAATAAGAAAAAATAAATATGTAGATAAAATAAAAATATATACTTAACATGGGCACATTATAAAAAGAAATTATGCACAAGACCACTATGCATAGTAAAGGAAACAATTATGAGCTTAACTTATTTAGTTGTAGTGGTTTCCCAACCTGAAATGTTGTTTCTAGATTACAGCCTAAATAACTAGTTATAGTGTTGACTGTATAACTAAAAGTAAATCTTTTACTTAAGCATTCTGGTTATTGTGTCAAATGGGAATATAGAAGCATGTCCCAGCTTTACAGAATATTGTACAGACAAATACTTAAAAAAAATTAAGACATGAAGATAGTTATGTGACAGAGGTGCCCTAAATATTTAGCAATACATTACTTGTTGAGAACAATAATCACAGAATCACAGAATCATAGAATTGTAGGGGTTGGAAGGGACCTCCAGAGATCATCGAGTCCAACCCCCCTGCCAAAGCAGGTTCCCTACAGCAGGTTGCACAGGTAGGCATCCAGGCAGGTCTTGAACATCTCCAGAGAAGGAGACTCCACCACCTCCCTGGGCAGCCTGTTCCAGTGCTCCGTCACCTCACTGTAAAGAAGTTCTTGCGCACGTTTGTGCAGAACTTCCTGTGCTGCAGTTTCCAGCCGTTTCCCCTTGTCCTGTCTCCACTCACCACTGAAAACAGTCTGGCCTCGCCATTCTGCCCCCCACACCTTAGATATTTATAGACCTGGATCAGGTCCCCTCTCAGTCTTCTTTTCTCAAGGCTGAACAGACCCAGTTCACTCAGCCTTTCCTCATATACTGTATACATAATACTGTAGCAGTAGATCAGCAAAATATGGTTCTACTCTGTTTCAATAGCCAACCAAACGAATGTTCTTCACACTGTGCAATCTTCCTTAGGTACAACTCCTTTTTCTAAAATTTTACAAAGGTGACTTACGAAAATGCATGTCACCTCATGCTGGGAGCATGCAAACAAAGAGCACATGCTCAGCTATGGCAGCTCAGCTGCCAAGCAACAACTTGTTAACTTGCCATAACTCAATCATGTTCAATTGTTTGCCCGCAGCCTCAGGCTACAGACAGACATTTGGTCTGCTAACAACTGCACCAGATGAAGACATTACTATCCCAAGCTATTTGTTATCACACATCTGCTAGAGATTATCATCTCCACAGCTCTGCTGGGGGAAGAAATCGTGTGAGCACTCCCTAGTACAAACCCAGCCAATTTAATTTAAATAGGTGAGTTGAGCTAACCAGGCTGGTTTTGCCCAAAGCGTACTAAAAAAATAAAAACAAAAAGCCTACTTTACTGGCAAAAGACCATAGCATAAAACAAGCAGCTGGGAAAATTAACACCTTCAAACAGTGTAGTAGGATTTGGGAGCAAACAGTTCCTGTCCTAATGCAAAGAGATAATATAAACTTATATAAAAATATAATTTTTTCAAGGCTATGCAGGAGGAATAAATACACAGCTTTAAACCAGAAATAGGTAGCACTGTTGATACAATTTCAGTAATCAGTGACAGAAGAGTTTACTTGTAAAGGTAACATAAATAAACGTGTATTACAAATGAACACAGAAGATCACATGTTGAATTGTATCAGAATTGTTTGACTTATCCAGTTCCTATGTTTTGTCGTGCAGGACTATCCCTTCCTAATGTTTTGTTTCTCAATAGCATTATTAACAGTTCACATCAATCAAAAGATCCTTCCAGTAATAAGGCTTGCTATTAATTCACATAAGATTAGCTTATAATTATTGAGTTAGAGAAAAAACTAATACAAGCAATCTGGTATGTTAAATCTTACCCATAAAGTATAAGCAATAGTCCACTATGGATAGAAAGTTTTAATCCACTGCAGTGTTTTAGAACTCCACACCTTTTTGATGTATTCACCCAGTAAATTATTCCACAAGTCACCAATCTAACATAATGCAGGTCATTACGTTTGTCTACTTGCCAAGACAAGAAGCGTCACCGAAAAGGAGTAAGGAACAATTCAAGCATAAAAAACATGCATGTATACAACTATCTTATGTGCATATAAAAAAAGAGTAAATGTTTTCAAGAACAGAAATAAAAAGATAAAGTTCACCACTAAAAAGACAGTTGTGTGAAAACTATACAAAGAAATAGATGGAGAAATTAAATCTTGTAGTAAGAGAATCAAACTAAACTATTTTCTAGGTAAGTACTATAATTCTAAAGAATTTCCAATCCTTACTTACTGCTGTTATTTCACCACCACATTCAATAGCTGAATAGGAATACAGTGTAAAGTTAGAATACTTACTTGTTGTGTACTCATCCAAATTACATTCAATGCATCAATTAGTTTAAATAGTCTAAAATACAAACTACTTATGTGTCAGTTTTAAAATGCTTCAGACTCAGGTGTGAGTAAACACCTGTTTAACAAAAGAATGCAGATAACTGCATATGAACAGAGAAAGTACAAATCGAGAAACATTCACTTCAAGGATACTTGATTCTGAAAGGATCTAAAATTTGTTCTGGTATTATCTCTTGGCACTGGTATCTTGGAGTGGTGTTTTTTTTTGTTATTTTCATTGCTGTTGTTTTTGTTTTTTTTCCTTTTGCTTTCTGTTCTAAAGCATCTGTGCATACACAAATGACAGATTCCTACTTTAATATTCCACATAATGAAATTGCATATTTATAATAAGGCTGAGATCACCATTTTAATAACTGTACATAATACATGCCATTAAAACAGTAATTTTTATAAGTACTTTAAGTAAAAATGTTTTCTCTGTATTGAGTGATGAAAGTAAGTTTAACCCTTACAGTAGAAACAACGATTTATAAGTTTTAACACAGGCAATCTTCAATATTAACCTTAAATAAATCTCACATTTCTTGGAATCATAGAATGCCTTGAGTTAGAATGAACCTTAAAGATTGTCTATTTCCAACTCTCAGCCATGGGCAGGGTTACCACCCACATCACACGACACTATGAATTTAATTTGTAATAGAAGACCAGACAAACAGTCATGAATTGAATGAAGGTAGATACTATGAAGCTCTGAAGACATCAAATATGTATTTGTCACATGCTGTTCCAATATATGTGAAGAAAAATCTATTTTGATGAGAACTGCTTTTGATAAAAAAAGTGAAATGTTACAATAAAGAACACTAAAATCTGTAGGAAGAAAGTAGTCCCCAGGACTGTTATTGACCTAACAGAAAGAGCTTACAAATACTTACTTGATATTCTAAAAGTTGTCACATTGTAAAAAATAATAATAATAATAATAATAATCACCATAGAAGTCTGAGAACTTATTTTCCATTCATTCTCAAGAACTGACAATGAAGGTTCTACAGTAGGCAGAGAAAACTAGCTATTTTTCTGCAAAACCACAAGTAATTATTGTGAAATAACCCAATGACAACCCAGCACACGATCTTGCTATTTTTAAACATGCTATAGTATGATAACATACCCTGGTACCATGTCTATTTGCAATAATAGTTTATGTAAGTCTTAGTTCAATAATACTATAGATATTTTAGAGAAAACAACTGTCTTCAGACCTACGTTGTTTTTATGCAATCCTGCCAAGAATTCTTTTGGAAATACAGTCTACCAGCCTACTGCTGAATTGGATGTGAAGAGAGGTTGAAGACCACTCCTTATATTTAATGTCATAAAAAAAAAAAAAAAAAAAAAAAAAAAATACCTACAAAAGAAGTTAGAAGAGATCAATCATTTTGAGAGAACTTCACTGGCCAGAAAAAATGAACATGAAAGTTATGATTCTGAATTCCTATCACACTGTTTCAGTGTGCTAGGGCATAAAAATGGTCCTTAAAGGACTTCAAATATAATCTGCTTCTTAACATCCACTTGCTCTCAGTTTCAAGTAAATAGCTTGATAGTGTGTACTTACAGTGAAAATTTGTATCTAATGTGGATTCAAACCAGTACTCTAAGCAAAAATACAATGTGATAAAAATATTTGCTAGAAAATGTATGCAAAACTTTTTAGATATCTTTGCTTAAAAAATAAAAGGTGAAATAGGCAAACCCACCATTTCTGAAGATGAATGACCAGCATTTGCTCGAGAAGCATTTTAAATACTGTCTAAGCAAAGTTTGAATACAATGACATAGATTCATATTTAGTATGATATTTTTGAAGAAGTATTGATCCCACTTTCCAGTTATTCATCAAAGCAATTATTTAATAATGTGAAAAACTTGTTTCAGGATGATCACATATGTACTACAATGTAAATGCTTGAAAGACAGCTGTAGTGTCTCACCCAAACCCATAGTATTTTACAATGATACTTTTCAATATAATTTCAGGACATGATGTTTACACAGCAACATCACAATTCTGCGTACTTTTCCCACAGTTTGTCAGTTTTGAAAAAATACTAGTTACAAGAATTCCTTTATCAGACCAGATTGATTCAGCAGGTAATGTACAAAGAAACCCCTCCAGGAACAGACTTCTAGACTAACGCCCATCAGTTCAGTATTTAACGTGCTATTTTGAGGGGGAGGAAACAAGCTGGAGGATAGAATTAGATGTGTATGATTAGTTTTCACATTGAGACTCTTGTTGTTGAAACATGACTTAAGAACAATTGAAGTGTTAAGGTATTTATGTTGACTTTTTGATTTCAAAAGTTAGCATGCATAATGGTAATTTCATACATTTTCAACAATTAACTTAGATGCCAGAAGCATAAACCTTGCTTCAGTATCCATTTAATTCTCATGTTTATTAAAGAGATTGAGTTTATTAAGTGTAGTTGGATACAGACACCAATAAAGTCTGTGCCAGCAAAGATTAGGTTATACAAAAGAGACTGTTTAAAGTAAATCACAAGCATGGAAAAACACTGAAAATACCCCGAGATATATATGAAATTGATATTAAAAAAAAATAATGAATCAACAACTGCATGAACAGCTGTAAAGATGGCTGCTAACCCAAACTTACCTGCTAGCTGTTTTTACAGAGCTGTTCTTCTTGTGTCCTCGGTCCGACCGGTTGTCTCGCAAGAGCTGAAGATATTCAAAAAATTGCTCAGAATGGTTTCACATGCAATGCCTCTATTTGTCTTTTAGAAATGTTATTCTTTCCTGACTTTTGAGTAATCCTTCAATAATGTTTTCACCCTGGAGTCTAAAACTGACGGATGCCTAATAACATTTTATGGTAATAACTAAGAGTGCAAGATACATTCACAAACACACACCTTATTATAAATTCCCAGTTAATTGAAAATGAAAACATAAGCATTTTAAAGGCACATTACAAAGCCATTCACAATGTTACATTTTAATTATCTTTAGACTTTTTCACAATTTCCATACTCAAATTTTTAAATTTTAAAATCAAAAGTGTTGGGGAGACTTAAATTATGATAAAAACATAATCAGGTTGGTGCCTGTAGCTAAGCAAGTATGAAGCAGTTATAAATTTCTCTAAGCCCCAGGAGTTTTTTTTTGTTTTTTTTTTTTTGTTTTTAATAATTTGAAAGCTGCAGAAGCAACAAAAACACATTATTAAAGCTTCCCACAATAGTGGTGAAACAGGGATAATAAAGGAGCTACTTAACAATAGTAATGTCTCAAGTTCTGGAACAAGCTTTGATTAACTCCTTTTTAGACAAACAACAGAAGACTTCTCGTTAGGATCATCTCCAAAGTTCAGAATTACATTTCCAGCATTTTAGTATTTGTCAAGATGGGTAAAGTGGCACTTAATAGCAAAGAAATGCTGCTAAAAAGCAATACCAAAACTCAACAGTATGTAAAAAATAGAAACATTTTTCAGAGCTACTCATATATTGAACAAAGCATAAAATAAACTTAAAAGTCCCTGGAAATCCTTGAATATTATGACTTGGTCAACTATACCTTCATCCTGTGCATGAGCATGAATGCAAAAAAATTACACCTATCTAAAAATTATGCTTAATTTTTCCCTGAATTTTTATTGCTTGCTTCTTGCATGAAGACTGCTCCTTATCATTTCAGTTATTACATTTTCACATGCAGTGAATAAGCGTGATTTTAAAAGGCAATCAAAGGATGTGTAAAGACATCTTATTCTGATACATTATTGCAAGTTAGTTTTTTTCCATTTTCTTATGGTCAGCAAATCACTTGCAAATTACATTTAAATATGGCCACAATTCTTACTAGTATAATTATTACATACTGTGTATTTATGTCATGCTGAGATAAAGACAACATTTCTATCATTATCAATACTCTGGCTGAAAAGTAAACTGAAATCATATCTTATGAAAATACCAGATCACCAGACAGATTTCAATTACTTATTTTCTAGTGTAACAATTTTAATTTCAGGAATTAAACTAGAAGGTATTTAGCCCTCATAACCTACAGTTATACAGTATGGATCTTCACAACTTCAGCGAGAATTCTATAGACTCTCTCATTTTGTATATTGGTCTAATAACAACAACAACAACAACAACAACCACAACAACAGCCAACAAAAAAAAAAACACAAACAAACATGATACCCCAGAAGCACATGTATTATTTGACACTAGCTTCAGAATTCATTAACAGTCTAAGTTAAAAACAGAGTGAATTTAAGATAATCTCTGAAACTACAGCCCTTAGGAAATGCAAAATAAATATGCAGAATTTAATTCACAGCTACTGTTATCCGAGAAAAAATTATACTCTGAGACAAACAATATATTAAAAAAAAAAAAACCACTCAAAAATAATTACACAAATTCATTTTAATCTAGTAAATTTTGCTACATACAGCACAAAAATTTCAGGAATAGGACAATGATACCCCAAGGGAATCTTTTATCATGATTAAGTCTGGATGAGGAGCTGCAAGATATGGTTTACTGCTTGTGGCAGCAATGGTAACGGGAGGACGGTTGGACCAGATGATCTCGCAGGTTGTTTCCAACCTTACAATTCTATGATTCTCTAAGACTAATCACGCTCATTTTTAAAATGCTGTTCTATTGTGATTCTTCTACTAAGAAACACATTTTGAAATGATATGAGTTAAAAGTGAATCATACAAAGCTGCCTGTTTAGATGTCAATAGTCAGTCAGCTTAGTGTGCGATGTCAGAAGTTCTCAATTGATAGTTAAAACTGTACTATGTACTTTTTTCCACTCCAACAGTTTTAAGCAGGTAAAATAGAGAGACTCAGTTTTGCTGTGGAGTTCAAAAGAAGTGGGGGGCAAAGGAAAAGGAACATGTTGATTTAAACTTTGACTTTCCAGAGTTACAAGTGGTCATGATGGATCACCCTATGATGAACCTTTCAAAAGATTCTACGCACCTTATTTCTTTCTAATGTCTCAAATTCAGTTAAATTTGTAAGCACACAAGTGACCTGGTACAGATCTAATCACATCTACTGAGTTATAACAATTTTTACTAACTGAAAGTGAACTGTGGAACGGTTGTCGTCTTAAACGTTGATGCATCACTGATTTATTCTTTTTACTTAATATTTCATGTTAAGTGTATAAAACCAGATATATTTTCCTAATTAAAAGTTCTTGGACAGCATGTTCTCTTTGCATCTTATAACAGTCCATAAGGAAAAGTATTCCTCCATGTCTGAAAACAAGCTAAAGTAGTAAGTGTTATGTCTCTAACCAAAAATGAACAGGCCTTCACATTCCCTTGAGCACGTTTCTAGGCTTGAGCAAGGAACCTTAGGAGCTATACCACAGAGGTAGTACATACACATACAGTTTATTCTAACCAATATCTGTATTGTGGCACTCTTTGTTTGGCTGGATACAAAGGAAATTTAACAGCTCTCTGCTACTGCTGTGGTCTTTTTAAAAAGTGAAATTAAGAAAAATCGGAATGAAAATCATCCTGCAGAAGCCTGCCCACTCTTGTCACTGTTAGGCTTCGTTCACAAAAATCAGGAAATAAATTTTGTTTTACTGCATTTTAAGAAAAATAACATTTAGAGATTTTACGGTTAACAAAATCTTTCCTCACTAAAACAAAAATGCAACAAGAGACTTTTTCCTTTAACCTGCCAACACTCAAGGAAAATTAACTGAAATTAAATTACTAACTCACAATTTTTAATTAAGGGAAGGACTTTTTTTGAAAGGAGTTGCTGTTCATAAATTTTCTTGCAAGGAAATATGAAATTATACGTGCTTTGTCAATCATTTCTTTAAATATTAGCCTGCTGCCTCTGGCACAGAGGTAGTTAAATTCCTTAACACATCTCAAGTAAACTGCTTTTGATCAAAACAGTTCTTACCTGGCTATGTTCCTTCCTAGCCCCAGGGCTAAACCAATGGCTGTGGGAGAAGAAGAAAAGACAGGTTTAACAATATAACTAACAAAGCACATGCTGTCATATGACCAGCCTGTGCGTGCTTTTGGGTATTTTATTATCTGCCAGGAAAATACAGCCGTTGGCTACGCTTTATTTTAATGGGATATTTTTATTGAACTTTCGGTCTGCTACAGTTCTGAAAGAATACACTACAAATTTCACTTCTCAGTAGCTGCTGGATTTATAGGTAATTATATTTTGTCAGAGAAGGTAAAATAATATAAAAATGATAATATTTAAAAAAACTATAATGCACATACTATAAATAAAAGCAATCTGATATTTAATGCTGAAGTGTTATTTTTTAATGATTATAGCTGGAAAGATTTTTAAGTACTGGGGACTATTTGGTAATTGTTACTGTACTACCTCGCAAACTGAGCTCTGAGTTTGAATATAAAGTGTAATTCAAAGTCAGCAGAATTAGTGGACTCATCTACACACAATTACACAATTTTGACTATTGGCAGCCTTATTCCAAGGAGTTATTGCAATTATTTGCAATTATAACTGTTGCACTTTTTCTGAACTTATTAAATGTAACAGTTTATTTCCACTTTTTCTGCACAGCACACTGGAGCACCTACATAATGATGCCAAAATGTTAAGTTTAACTAGCATACTTTGAGAGGAAGCAAAGTCTGAGCAATGAAGGCTGCTCCAAAAGTAATGCCCCTGATTTTATTATGTTGTATCACAACATGAGATACAGATGGTGGAGGTACTGCAGTAGAGGTTGAACCATCCCACAAATATTTTCATTGCCACGTGACTGATGGCAGCAGAGGGGCACTCTGATACAACGGCAGTTGACATGCAAGTGCATATGAAATAAAGGTGCATTGCTAAGTTCCTCCATCTGGGAAAAAAGGCACCCACTGACATTCATCAATTCTTGCTGAACAACGATGGAGACCAAACAGTGTATGTGAGCTCAGTGAGTGGTATGTTTCAGCAGTGGTGACAGCAACAGTAGGTCAACCTCCACTGGTGTAGGTATTGATGAGTGCAGCATGCAGGGTTTTATTACTGGCAAATATGAAAAGCTAATGGCAGTGAAAACGTTGAACACCATGGTACTGTAGCTATGAATTTGTACTACCACATAGCATTACTGTGCTAGTGCACTCTCTGAATCTGTTATATCTGTGGAAATTAATAGGAGGTATTACTTTCAGAGCAACACATGTAAATTATTAAGTCCGAAATCTGAAAGCTCTTTGCTGATGATCAGTCCATCTTCTCATTCCCATATTATAAGGAATTATCATACAATACCAGTTGTACCTGAAACCTATGTACTGCTAAATTCTTTCTCTACTTTCCAGATAATTAAAGGATAAGTGTGAAATTTATAAAAAATGAAATGACAGAAAGAAAGCTACAAGTATACTTTGACATACAGATTAGTAGACATTACTATAAACTGGACAGGAAAAGTGTTAAACAGCTGCACTGAACAGTTCAACTTTCAAATCACGATTTGGAAATTATAGGAAAGTGACCTTATTGTTGTAATCACTCAAAAGCGATTAAGAAAGAATACAACTAATGTTTTCAGCTGGACAGAACAACAGTTCACATTGCTTGCACACTGGAGTAGCTTAATAAGCTGAATGACATTCCTTATTTGTGTATGTCCAAACAATTAATGTATTTTCATAAATATCATGATAATCTTTTTTCCTCACCTGACACTAACGTTTAAGATTCAAGAAAGTGATGCTTTATTTTCAATTACTCAAATGAGGCATTTCTGAAATTGTTTACTTTTGAAAAAAAAAAAAACAAAACAACCCCAGAGCGCATCTTTTTAAACATCCTGTTCCATTTGATATCTATCCTATTTTAGAACACTAAAAAGTGTTGCTTTTTACAAGAGCATATACTTAGGTTAATAAAATTACATTTACAAAATATTGAACTGCATGTTTCATTAAGAAACATAAATTATAAAGGATTATAAATGTTACTATTAAATAAATAACATTATGTAGCTGAGCTGAGCTTCCCTTATCACATTTGCACACTTGCAAAACGTAGCTTTAAGAAAGAGGTACTACTGTAACACAAAAGTAAAAATATTTCTAAGTCCAGTACTGATACTCACTCATGGTGAAGAGAATCCTGGGACAGGTGAATTGCCTTTCTGCTACCACCTGGTCCTGGAGTTATCTATGGCAGAAAAGTGGGAAAAAACATTATTTGAATTATGGAACAGAATATGAACACAGAGACTGTTTATTAAGGAAGCATACTGCATGTACTGAATGCTGTATCTAGTGTACTGTCTCAATTTTGAAAATGCAATTAGCAGTATCTGCATTTTTAAATTAAAAACTGAGTGCAGAAAGGTACTGTACAGGGTTTACTAAAATCCTTTGGGCCTAATTCTGATTGGATGTTAGGCATTTATAGATATCTGGGGCCCACATTACTTTTTGAAAGCCTGTGAAATGCTTACTCTGAAAAACTGAAAGATAGTTAGATGGTTTGAAAATCACATTCAACAGACCAAAAAAAATCTATTCAGCCTTTGAAATCCCAACACACAAATCTTGAAACTCAAGTTGATGCAAGAAAAAAAGCAAAGAAAATGATTTTTTTTTTTTTTACCATACTATGTTGCATTGTTTTTGTCTAGCCCTTTACATTCACTGAAATAAAAATGACTTAACAGACTTAAATTAAGAGTAATCATAAGAATTCATGACAGCACATGTAGAATTATTTTCCTGTAATGTGCAGATGATAATATTCTGGTACTGTTCAAATATGCAATCAGCTTTATTTTTATAATCTCCTTAATAGAACTAATTTGTCTGCACATGTAGACAGGCAAAAGAAGAATTAGGGACCACCCAATGAAACTGATGCTCGGAAAAAACAAAGCAGAAGGCAAACAATTCCTGCTGGAGGGAATGCAGGAACTGACTTTCAGTTCATTGGAGTTAGCTCTGCAGTCATGGGAAAGAAGTCAGACATTGTCAGTTTTGAAAGGAGGCAACAAAATTCACCAATAATATGCTTATCCGGCTAAGACTTGCCAAAAGAAAATAAGCATAAGGTTCACAAATAAAAACAGCCTATGATTCATTTAAAGAATAATGTGTTCAACTTTTAAAGAAAAACATCTCATCTTATGATAGAGAATAACCACAGCACTTGGAGCTCCAAAATCTAGAAAGCTTTGAAAGAACACTTACGAAGTAATTTGAAAGCCCCAAGATTTAAGTACTTGACACTACTCTGTTTCTTTGACCTTAACAGGAACAAGGGGCCTAAAAAAGGGACCCCTGAAATTTGTCAGTCTTCTGGCTGCTGGTGCTGAGAAGAAAGTACCGCAAAAAAAAAAAAATCTTCGCATGCATTAAAATCCTCAGAGAAAATGAGGGTGACTACATAATTTTACTATCTCAAGGATTCTCTTCAGCACAGAACACACATGGAGAACAGCACACCCAGTCCTTTATCGGCTTTTGCAGTTTACTGTTTTACTATAACCACATGACAGCACTAAACCAGTGACCAAAGTTCAGACAACTTTTACACTGTTATTCATCTATTAATTGAGAGCAAGAAACACCAGTTCACAAAGGCAGACCTAAAAGTACGATAAAATACTTAAATATATAATTTCTAAATGTTAAGGTTAATAAGTAAGCTGTTACTTTAACAAAATAGGTAAACATGTTGCTCGGCTCTCAAGAGTTACATCCTGCATTAATCTCAAAATGAAGTTTTCATGCTATTCCAGTGGGTACCCCTGGAATATAGTAATCCATTTTCTACACTATGGCTATAAGAAAAGCCGACTGTGCCTATGTCATGCTTTGTTAGAGGTTCATGATCACATTATCTCATGGTGGACCTGACACTTTTATTCAGTTTACAGTATGTTCTGTGTACAGGCAACTTATTTCCTTTGCCAGGGCTGCTGACAACCTTTTCCACACTATATTAATCTTGTTTATAGACTTTATCTTGGTACAAATATCAGAAAACTGAACTTTTTATCTCAGGGAGAAAATAAACAACATGTTGACAGAAGCAAAAGCTATTTTCTGGACTAAAATTGGTTGTTTACCCACAGCCATACTTATGGAAACAAGTTTAAGTTTCCAGCTTACTCAAAATACATAATCTGGAATTTAATAAGCATTGAAAATCCAAGAAAAAGCACTTGACGGATTTTCAGTTCTAAAATAATATATAAAAGACAAATACATTTTTCCATTAATTTATATGAGAATATGAACTACATGAACAGATACAACCAGAGTACACCACTCAAGTTTTTCTTACATAACCTAGAAACCTTCAATTTCACTGAGCAGACACACAACATTCATAAAATTAAAATCACAATGCATAATTAGAGATCTTTATATAAAACTGAATGGTGATGACTATAATATTCATAATGGGTAATGCAAAGAAATTTATCTTTGCAAAACTGCCATCTAGGGCAAAAAAAAATAGCTGTGGCTCATCTTAATCTGCTAAATCACTATTAGCAAAATCAATTGCAATGTTTACGCACAGGGAAACAAACAGCCACTCAACTGTTCACATTCTTTATTCATCTAGAAAAATTGCATGGTTTTCTAGAGTTGGTTTAGAAGTCTTAGTGCACAAAAAGGAGCTGAATTAAGTACCAGGGTTCCACTAGTAAACGAAAAATAAACAGAACTGAAGGCAAAAGATTTCTTATTTTTTTTCCCCGCTCACGAAATTGCCTGGACAGCCTGATCTGGTGGATGGCAACTCTGCCCACAGCAGGGGGTTGGAACAGGATGGATTTTAAGGTCCCTTCCAACCCAAACCATTCTATGATTCTACAACTTTATTTTTTTCTATGGAGTGCATTCAAGGGGGTAGGGCCTGAATGTACACACACATATCAAGGAATCATAATTACTGTGATGGGACTAAGTAGATTGACCAGAGTGTCATTTTAAACTTAAAATGAAGTTCATTCACTAACAGCATGCTTCTGGTCAACTCTTATACAATATTGAAGGTCTTCATTCCATGCACAAGACTTTTAGCTTTTAAACACTCATATGTTAAATTAACAGTAAGTATAGAGTATTGCAGAGCTGATGCACAATAACCTCTCCCAAGCTTTTAACCAGTGTATTTAATGGCCTGCATTTCTCCAAGCCCTATTATAACTGAGCACACTCAAAGGAAATTAGGTAGCTATAACTAATACAAAAAGTAGAACTATTTCTAACTATTCCCCCCCAAATAAGAATAGCAGCTTTTAAAAAAGACGTAAAAGACAAATGACTAGGAATAATGTCTTAAAGAATGAAGAACAAAACTGATTTTCAAAAATACAGAAGAAACATCACGGGTCTTCACACAGCTCAATTGTGTTGCAATCTGCATTGTAGCTCAGATGCAGAAAGCAGCAAAATATGACGTGTAAAGGGAAAGTAGGGCTGACTTAGTGGTTCTATTAAGCCTTCATGAAGACATAGTCCATTAGCAGAATACCTACATCTGTGCCAGTTTCTTGCTACTCTATAATTATTTAAAATCAAACTCTTACTAACAAAGCATTGCAAAACTCAATGGATCATTGCCATTATGCTTGTGAAACATAAGCAAACGATCGGAAAGAAAAATCTCAAGAAAAATAGGTCAGAAGACTTGGAGTTTAACACTAGAGCTAACACTTTTCTCCCTGTACACGTCTTACCATTTTCTCTTCATAAAACAAACAAATAAGCCTCCATGCATCCTAGATAAAATGAGAATCAGAATGTTTCTATGAGTAAAAGAAAATGTGCAAGTTCACCTAACTCTTGAGTGAGTTTCACACTCTACATTTCTTTTTTACACAACTAATAAAATACACCTCCCTCTTCACACTTGGTTTTCAATTGAATGATTAATGGAAAAACAAAAAGAAAGCAGAGATTTAAAAAACAAGTCCAATATTCAACATCATTTCTTCAAAGAAAGGATATTTAAATCACCTACAAAAGCCATAGAGTGCACTTCATTGTAAACCTATTCTTTCACACAGAATTTCTCAGCTGTTTTTTATCTTTAAAAAAAAAAAAAAAAAAAAAAAAGACCCTTGCATTTGAAATTAACTGATTATAAAAATTAAAACAAGTGACTTTTGGAAAGAGTTTAAAAATGAGTCAGTATGAGATCATCTTTCAAGATGTCTGATATGTAATATAAAATAGTACTATGATATCTTTGCCCCAACAGCAGCTCGGAGCACAGCAAAAAGGAGACTGACACTATCAAGGATTAAGAATAGACTTCAGAAGAAAACATAAAATACACTTTTTTCTTTAATTTAAACCAGCTCGTGGTATGAGACACATATAAGCTTCAGGATTGCATGAACACCATATAGTATCACAATGTCAATTTTATACAGTGGGAAAAGAAAAATTTCCAGGATGGCAACTTGGAAAGTATTAAGTATGACAACAAAACATTGCCAAAATTTTTTGGAAAAACATTTAGAATTCAACTAATTATATTTAAATTAAAACAAACTTCCCTTAACAGAAAAAGCTACCAGTAAAACGAGGTTCATATTGTGTATGAAAACACCTTTATTACATTTTAGCTGTCTATAGATAAAACTTATTCTAGGGTGAAGTCAGCTTCACTAAGCCAGCAGGATTTTGACTTCAGTAGTGCAAGGACTTGATCCTTATTAGTTACGAATGTTCTAAAATGCTGGAACAATGCGTTTTACGTAAAACTATTATCAGTAAGTGAAGTTACCTGTATGGTGATACAGACAGAAGAAAAGAGCAGAGCACAGCAATTAGGACAGTTGCCTCAGCCTGTGAGATTGGATTCTATTCCTCCATCTGCTACACACTTGCTGTTTTGACCTTTGGTTAGTTTTTACTTCAGCTCAGTTCCTCATTCGAGAGAAACAACAAAAACATACAAACAAGACCTTCCTCCCCCCCAGAAATCTATATTGTGGTAGTTTCTCCTTACTTCATGAGAGTAATGTAATACAGTGACAGTAAAAATTGTACCAACAAAAGCTATTAAAAAATGCATTTGCTTTAAGACTGCTTCAAGTACACTACTGAAGGTGATTTTTATTCTTAATATGCTAAGACTTATTAGAGGAAACAAAAAAGTCAATATTAAACACACACAAGCAGAACTACTCATAA